CCCCAAAACCCCAAAACCCCAAAACCCCAAAACCCCTGTGATTGGATTTTAAAATTATTAAAGGTATTATTTATTTGAGAGATTATTAATAAAGATGAAATCAAATTCAGATTAATTGGATAAATTTCACGAGGACATTTGCAAGTGGGATATTCACACAGATATTCTAAATCACAAAGATGCCTTTATTATCAAAAGTGCCTATTACTCATCTGATGATTACATAGCTACTCAGAGAAATCAATTATACAATGATCTTAAGACTACTCTCCAGAAGAATTTATAGAGATAATTAGGTGCAATAATGAGCCCTGATAAACATGTATTTTAGCTCAAGCACTGTGAGATGGTTAAGAAATTCGTTGTATTCGAATTGAATCAGGTAACTCAGTAAAAAAAAGCTGGAATATCGGTATTCAACCAAAATGATGTAGTAGTTATATTTAGACAGGACATTCATTAACTTGAAAAGCATAATCTAATTGGTGTTGTAGATAGCTCAGTGGAAGGTCTTGTCTTATTGAAATCTATCATCAAGATGGAAGAACCAGATGAAAGGTCTTTCAATATGGGTAAATCTTTAACTCAAGATAGTTTTTGGATCATTGAAAAGATAGGCAGTGTTATCAATTACAACAAATCTTATCTTGCTTTGTAGACTTATTAGGATATAGATATGCAGGAAAACTTAAATGACCCTATTAATGATATCATACATAGTAACAATTTTTACTCGCTTAGTAAACAATAAGAGAGACTACTATATGATCAATTTAACTATACACTTCCTTAAATGCAAGCCATTACTTAGTCTCTTAAGAAAAAAGGTGTAAGCATTATTGATGGAGAATATTTATCTGGAAAAACAACTATAGCGGTTGGGTTGATTTAAGCTCTTAATATTATCTTAGAGTAAGTTAGAATAGAAAGAGAATTAGAGAAACAGTAAAAATAGGTTAAAACTTATTCTATTTAAGAACTCCTCGACAATGAATCGTCTGAAGATGAATACTACTCTGATAAAAGCAAATCTCAAGTATCGTTTCCCTGGTTCTAAAAAGGCTATAAGCATATTTATGATGAACTAGATTATACCAACCAATAGAGTGTTGCGATGAAAGAGTAATACCCAACCTCTGACTTCACCGATAAAAAGATATTACTAAAGGCTAAAGAAAAAGATCAAACCAAACCACCAGAGAGGATTGTACTCCTATCACCTAATTCACTGACAGTTGATAAGCATTTATCGATTATACAGTAATTAGGACTTGATAAAACTATGAATATAATTAGGATTGGTCATTCAAATCATGATGAATCCTTAAATAAAAAGTTTTCAATAGAGTATCTTAGTGGAGCTAACATGAAAAAGACATAAAAGGATGAAGCATTAGATTAAGTTAAGGAGGACTTACTAAGATAATCATAAGTTGTCCTAATGGCAATTCATTCACTTAATCAATAGATGATTGAGAGGACTATAACTAAGCAAGACACAGTGATTGTAGATGATGCAAGTATAATTAATGAAATGGACATTCTTCAGGCCTTAAAGAGAGGAGCTATAAGATTGATTCTTATAGGAAACCACAAATTACAATCCAACATGTTTTAGCTTAACGCTAAAAGTGGAGATAGGACCTTATACTAGAGGATCTTCTAGGGAATGCAAAATTTGAATTTGCAAAATACAATTTAGACTCTACCTAAATTTGAAAAATAAGTTTAACTTGTTTAAGCCGTAAAAACATAGCCCAAAGCCAAAAAGGGTAAAAAAGCTGAGGAGACTGTGAGAGTGTAGCAAGGCAAAGAGATTGAGATAGAATTTATTGATTTAACCAATGGAGAAGAAAAAGACTAAAAGGAGTCTTATATAAATGAGGACGAGGCATAATCAATAGCTGATTATCTAGTGATGGCTTATAAGAGCTTAGATTTAAATGACTTAGCAATAACTACACCATTCAGAACTTAGATGCATATGATTAGAAGTGTATTTTAAAGCAGAGAAGATTTCCCTGAAGAATTGAAAGCTTTTGCTTAGTTTGGGTCATTTGACGAGTATGTGAGTCAGACTTATAAGACTTTGATAATTTCTGTTTGCAAGACAAAAAATATTGCCAAGAATGGGGGACCGCTTTTGAATAGTCAGCTTAATGTCGATTTTCTTAAAACCAGAGCTGTTGAAAAGATTATTGTATTTGGAAGAGCAAAATCATTGAACGCATTGTGGAGAAATGAGTTCTTTGAAATTGCAAAATCTCAAGAAAAGGTAACTGAATTATGATAATACGGCTCTAATAATTAATTAAAAACCTTTATTAAATTTAATCATAATTATAAATCACGGGGTTTTGGGGTTTTGGGGTTTTGGGGTTTTGGGG